CTTTTTACTCTTAAACTTACCAATCAAAAGCTTAAAGAAACTATTGACATAAATATTGAAAATAATAAAAATAAAATTCAAAAATTTATCCAACTTACAATATTAACTAAAGCAAAAATTTTAACAAAAAAATTAACAGAAAAAGGCAGATTTAAAAAAACCAAAACTGTTTCTCAATCAACAAACTCATTAACATTTATTGTAAACTTAGGAATTAAGTATACTATAACAAAAAAATAATATAAAAAAATAAAAATAACATTTAAAATTGAAAATACATATCTCAATAAAATTCAATTAAAAGACTCCGTTGAAGACAAAATAAGCAAATTCTTAAATGATTTAACTAGCAACATCTGTAATAAACACAACATTAAACCAAAAAATAAAAAAAACAAAAATTTAACCTCCACTATTTGCACAATAACAAACAAAAATGGTAACTTTTGAAAAGTTAAAAATCATATTAAATTAAAACCAAACACACTATTTGTAACACTAAAAATTCAAAAATGTAAAGGAGCCACACCAACTTTTAAAAACAACACTATTAATTGTATATTACCCATTAATAACAAAAATAACAACCCTAAACTTTCCTGTAAAACAAAATAATTAAACAACGAATTGAAACTTATGTTTATTTTGTTTAACATTACAAATAACAAAGTTATTATCAAAAATACTCTCCATCAAATTAAAATATTATTTACCATTAAACATATTAAACCAAAAAAAATACTATTATAAATATAAATGCCAACAAAAATGAGCAGGTTTCCCTAAAACAAATTTAGAAGACTTGCATATAACTCATTAGTTAACTTCAATCTTTTGCGCTTAAAACAAATACATTTATTATGCTATATTAACCATTCCACTATACAACGTGCAAGGCATTTTTAGATTAAAAATCTAACACTTTAAACTTAAGTTAACATTGTAAAATCTTATTCATTTAAATATAAATAAATTAAACGTGAAAAAATATAACTTTGAATAAAAAATACAAAACACTCCATTATAATAGCAAAAATACTAATTCAAACATACTTTTCACCTAAAGAATTTTCAACACCCATATATAACATTATTCTAATTAAATGACCTACTATAATATTTACAGTTAAACGTACAGTTAAAGCCAAAGGACGAGAAAACTCACTAACAATTTCAACCAACAACATACTAAAAGTTTTCAAAAACTTATCATTATTTTTACTCATATAAACAGAAAATTTTTCTCTTGATATAAAAGTTATTAACGTCCTTATTCACGCTACCACAGCATAAACAAAAGTAAATTCAATCATCCCACAAGGACAAAAAGAATAAGTAAAATAACCACCAAAACAACAAATCAACAATACAATAAAAGTAAAAAAAGAAACAACAGAACTTATTGGTAAACTTTTACTATACCTAAATACTTCAACCAAACTAACAAAAAACTTTTTTACCACAATATTTAACATACCTTCCTTAAAATATAATAAATATTGTAAAAAAAAAACAAATATAAATACATCTAAAAAAAAAACTTGATTAATAAAAAAACAAAACATAAAAAAAACTTAAATAAATTAAAGAAATTGGCAAAAACTTAAATCAAAACATACTTATTATTTTATCATAACGAAAACGTGGATAAGAACTACGAATAAAAATTAATAAAGAGAAAATTACAAAACTTATCAACATTGAGAAATTAAAAAATAAAACGGAACACAATACACTAAAAAAAATTAAACTACCGTACTCACTTAAAAACAATAAAACAAATGCCACTCTCCCATACTCAACATTATAACCTCTTACCAATTCTCTTTCTCCTTCAGCAAAATCAAAAGGAGCACGATTCAATTCAGCTACAATCATAACAAAAACTGGTAAATATAATACCAACAAACTTAAAGAATTAAAAGAAAAAAAACACAAACACCCTATAATGAATAACAATTGATAAAATATATAATGAAAAGGCAATCTCATATGAAACACTTTGACTCCTAGCACGCAAAGCACCAACAATACCATACTTTGACTTTCTTCACTAAACCTCTAATTAACATTGCATAAACAGAAAATCCAATTAGACACAGAAAAAATAAAACAGCATACTCAAAATTTAATACATTAAAAACATATGGTAAAACAAATCATTCCAAATACATAATTACAAAAGCAACTCCGGGAACAAAAAGAAAAGACAAATCCGAAGAATAAATTGGTAACAACTGCTCCTTTTTTAATAACTTAACCCCATCTAATAAAGCTTGTAACACACCTATAAAAGTTACTTTTGTTGGGCCTAAACGATTTTGACTCCCCCCTAATAAATGACGCTCATACAACGTAATAAAAGCCACACCTTGCAAAATAAAAATTATCATTAATAAAATCAACAGCACTATTAACAACAACAAGAAACTTTTCTTTAAATTTACAATTTAATATTTTAAAATAAACTATTTTCTTTAATTACCTTTATATCAAAAAACTTTAAGAGATAATCTTTTGATCAACAATCAACAATTTTACTTAAACTAACCCTTATCTAAAACCACAATTTTAAAACTACAAGATATATTCTTTACAACTGTTTTCAAAACAATTAAAATAGTTTTATTAGATTTAAGTTCCCCCAAATCTACTTTACTACAACTTACTCCCCTGTGGGCAATTGATGGATGATTTGTACCATTACTAAATAATCTTCAAAAAACCATAAAAATTTTTTTACTGTCTTTTACATTTTCAACAAAACCACTAAATTTTATATCCACATAATACCATATTGTAGGCCAAATATTTCTTACTTATACACCACATATATATCTATTTTTTTAAAAAAAAAATTTAAACATTTTATACCTCAAGAATAAAATAAACGATCATACATGAGCCAAAAAAATTAGCAGTTAATGGGGGTTCTCAATTACCACTCAGCCTCCAAAGATAATTTAGAAAATCTGCCAATATTCTTACAGTTTAAATACAACTTTACTTCTGCACTTTTTAAATTTGACTACTTAGGTACTAATCTAATTTGATTACCAAAACTTTAAAGTACAACTTTACTCATTAAATAATTAAAATTTTACCTAAAATTATATAAATTCATTTATTAAAATTGTAATTTACCAAAAATAAAGTATAAATTTAACAAGCCTAGCCGATTATTCTGGAACAAGTATTATACAAACAATTAACTACCGGGGTAAATTTTTATTGCCCACTAAATAAATTAAACCTAAATAATATTATCTTAACTCTTTATAAATCATAATTAAATTTTATATCTATAAAAGCATTCTTTAATAAGATATTAACCTATTTACTGAAAATAAATTATACTACTTATACTACAATCTCTATAGATTAAATTTTTAATTTTGAAAATTAATAGTTTAACTTAACTTAAATCTATAATTAACTAATACTAATAAATACAATAATCATTTCCGTAAAATTTCACCCTAGTTACCATAATTACTATACCCACAATTCTAGAAATCACCGAAAAACACATAAAATAAAAAAACATTATTTCTACAATATTATTTATAAAACTAACAAACAAACTTATTATTAAAAATTCTAACGCGATCAAAATAAAAATAAAACGATATCATTTAAACAAAAATATTATTAATCTAACAAACATAAAAATAATTATACTTTACGCAAAGCACCAGAAAAATTTAAAAAATATCTAACAAAATTTATAAAAATTAACAACATTAAAATTACATAAATTAAAACAATTCAATATAACGAATAATAAAAAACATTTAAACTTAAAAATACTTTAACTTGATAATAACGTAATATTAACATTAATATTAATGACAAAAATAACACTACAAAACTCAAACTTACATTTTTTATACTAAAACTTGATAAACTAGAAAAATAAACCAAAATTACAAAAATACCACTTAAAAATAACAACCTAATAAAATAAGAAAACCAAATATTTACACCAAACGATATACAAGGCATCAATAACAACATAGACAAAATTAAAAAAAAACTACTTTTTATTGGATCCAAACTTATATATCTCATTAATCTACCTATTAAGGAAACAAACAAAAAAAAGACAAAATAGAACTTTAATCCTTATTATTGTAAATAACATATTCTACATAAACTAAAAATTCTTATCAGTAAATTATCATAATAACCCAAATATTATATTTTAAATTAAACTAAATACTGCATACAATTATTTAATATAATTACTATCAATAATATTAATATAACAACATAACTAAAGTATACATTATATATATATATATATATATTTATCTATTTATATTCTATTTTATAAACTATAAAATTATATATTTATATTATGTTCGGGATAAATCCCTCACATGGAACAATCTTCATTGTTCCTTTTTTTGATTAATATTATATTGTTAATATAATATTCTATTATATATATATATATATATGTTATATTACTTAATAACATTACAATTACAATATCCACTATAAATTATCAATAATTTAGAATCATAATTTTATGAATGCAAATCATATATTTTACACTTAAATTAAGATCCCATAAAAGTAAAAAAATTAAAAAAATCAAAAAAATTACATTATTATACTTAAAAGTCCTTATAAAGTAACTAAAATTATTTCTAATAATACCAATTCAATTAAATCCATAAAAACCAATTTTATTTAATCACAAATCTAAAAACTTTAAATTTTTAACTTTATAAATTACATTTTTAGCAAAATAATCAACTAAAAATTTATAAATTAATTCTTTAAATAAAATTTTATATACAAAATATCTAAAAATAATAATTATAAAAATATAATATAACGGTCTATAAAAATCAACATATAAAAAAATTGAAGGTACAAAAAATAAATTTATATTAATTCATCACAAAAAAACGATAGAAAAAATTACCAACAATAAACTTAAAAAATTTATTACATAAGAAGATCTATAATTATTAATCACCTTTAAAAAGTTAACAAATAATCTTTTTCACAAACGATAACTATAACCAAAAGTTAAAAAAATTGAAACAAAAAACAATAATCTTAACAATAAATAATTATTATTTAAAAAAAACAACTCTAAAATTATATCCTTTCTTACTATACCACTAGAAAAAATTAAACCACATAAACAAAACAAAGTTACCAATAACTGTACCTGTATAAACAAAGGAAATACACCATTATAACTATATCTTCGACCATCTTGTTGCCCATAATTACAATGAATTAAGTAACCTACTTGTATAAATAAACATCTTTTAAATAAAGCGTGACTAACTAAATGAACAAATGAAATAAAACTTAAACCTAATCCTAATGTCAACATTGAAAAACCCATTTGTGATAAAGTTCTTAAGGCCACTACTTTTTTTATATCCTCCTCTACTAATGCTGTAATTCTTGAAAAAAACATTGTAAACACACCAATTAATAACATAATTATTAAAACTAAATTATTTAATAATAGATTTGAAAAATTTATTAACAAAATTAAACCCGCAGTAACCAATGTCCTCCTATGTACTAACGAACTTACAGGAGTAGGTGCACTTATTGCTTTAGGCAATCAACTTCTAAATGGAAACTGAGCGCTTTTTGTAAATGATGCAATTAACAATAAAATTACTGAAAATCCACATAAAAATTCTAAACTTAAAAAATAATAACCATAAAATAAACTACCTCTAAAAAAAGTAAACATAAAAAAATCACCTACACGATTAGTTAAAGCAGTATTTATAGCACCAGAATTTCTATCTCAATTATTATAAAATAAAACCAAAAAAAAACTAGAAATACCCAATAAATCTCAACTAATCAACATATTAATAACATTGTTACTATAATTTAATATAAACATACTACCAACAAAAATTAACAAAACAAAGTAATAATAATTAAAATTAATTTCACCATCTAAATAATACGTACTAAATACTAAAACACTTAAAGTTACAATTCCTAAAATTAAAGAAAACAACAATCTATTAAAATACAAATTTAATTTTAAAGAAAAAAAATCCCATTCTACAAAACTAATACTTAATTTTATTTCAGCCAGAAATAAAATTATTAAAACAATAAAAAAAAAATTATTACAATTAAATAAATCAAAATATTAATAAATTACTCAAATTAATTTACCATATCATCATTCTATATAAAACCCCATTATAATAAAAAATATTAATATAAAAAATCCAACAAAAGCCCTAAAATCAGACAATACTAAACCTAAAAACATTACAATTTCCAAATCAAAAATTACAAATATTAATATAATCACAAAAAAATGAATACTAAAAGAATTTTGCACTTTACTTAATCTAACAAAACCACTTTCAAAAGTACTAACTTTCAATAACTCACTTTTTTTTAAACTAATTACAAAACTTAAAACATATAATAATACTAACAAAACTAAAGTAATTAATACCACACAAAATAAAACAACAATAAAACTAATAAGTTTAAAATTTTAAATTTTTATAATTTTCCTTTCGTACTTACAACATTCAACACTAACTATTAACAAGATAAACAATTCTATCTCACAATGAATTAAACTAATATCACGTTAAATTAATTAAAAGAAGAACAGTCTTAATTCTTAAAATTTCTCCTTTTTTAAATCATTTAAATACAACATCGATGTAAAACTTATCTTACTATAAGAACTAGATTAGATATGATTTTCTGTTAACTCCGGAGTAATTTTTTTTATTAAATTTAGATATTAAAAATTAAATAAAATTCTGCCCTAGAAAACTTTATACTTTTATAAAATAATATAAATAAAATTTCCGAAGACTTATCTTTGTATAACAGTAACTATATTTTTTTATAAAAAAAAAATTCAACAATTAAATAAAAAAATTATTAACCAATAACTTCATTCATACTGGAACTCAATAAAAGCACAAATTATTTTGCTACCTTAATGTCCTCACGCTAAGACTGCCATTTAATCCACTCATTGGGCAGAAGCAAACTTTAATAAAAAGTCTAAGTCTTTAAAAAACATTTGATTAAACTTTTAATTCTTTTATTATATTATACTTTTAAAAAATATAAAACAAATTTACTTATAAAACAATAATAAAATTATTAAAAAAATAATAATTATAATATAGCACTTACACAATACAATTAATTGTTATAAAAAAAAAATATAAATACTTTAACTTTTAAATTAACATTATTAACTTTTTAAAATTATAATTTTCTAATAATTATTATGAACAAATATTATAAAAGTCGACTTTTCAACCCTAAATTATATATTTTTTATTATGAAACAATAAAAATAATATAATTTCAACCTTTTATTTTTATTTTTTATTTCTATAAAATTTTTTATTTTTGGTATGCAATACCTAATAAAAAACAACTTAAATTTATAGCTTTACTTCTTTTATACCACAAATAAATATTTTTAATAAACTATAAAGCTTTAATTCTCTAAATTTAAATAACACCAACTTTTAAAATTATCTATTAATGTTACTTCCAAAGCAATGGGTATAAAACTATGATTAGCCCCACAAATTTCCGAACATTGACCATAAAATACACCAACCATAGGAAATCTATAGCACAATGTACTTAAAATACCACTTATTGCATCTAACTTTACTGACAATGATGACAATGCCCAAGAATGAATTACATCCGCCGAAGTAATACAAAATCGAATATTAGTATTACAAGGCACTACACAACGATTATCTACTTCTAACAAACGAGGCTCACCTACATTTAACTGATCTAATGACTTTATATAAGAATCAAATTCCAAACCAGGGATATCACTAAACTCATAACTTCAATATCACTGATGACCCACTACTTTAACAGTTAAATTTCTATCTAAATTTATTAATCCATAATAATATAATAAACTTAAAGAAGGAACTATCTGCATTAACAAAATTAACGTAGGAAAAATACTACATAATAATTCTCCAAATTGATACTCAATCTTCTTACTTTTAAAATATCAAACATTATTAACTAAATATAATAACAAAACCACTACAAAAGTTAAAACTCCTAACAACAATCTACAATTAAAACTATGAAATCAATCCATATAACTAGCAAATAACCTATTAGAAAAATTTAAATTATAACCTTGAAAATAATTACCAATTAATTCTTATACCCTTTGATTGGAAATCAAACATACTAATTATACTAAAGAACTTAATTTTAAAGTTTTAACCACTTTATTGACAATAAAATATACTACTTTATACTAAAACTTTATAGCATAACTTTAACATTCATAATAAGAGAAACCACCCTCAGGGTATGAACCTAACAGACTTTTTATCCTATCTTATTATTTTAATCTTACCAACTCTAACAACCTTTTAATTTGCAATTAAATATACTTACAACTTTATAATAATAGAGTTAACTTTTTATAACTGAACTTCTAAAATAAATATCCGATTGATAACTATGACCAAAAACATAAGAACTATAACTATATTCCGGACTACTATTTACAAAATTATCCACTAATACCAAACGATAACTAAAAAACGACTCAATTAAAACATATAAAAATAAAAACATAGCAAACACACTTACTATTGACCCGTATGAAGATAAAACATTTCAAACAGAATATACATCAGGATAATCTATATACTTACGCGGAAAACCGTGTAAACCAGCAAAATGTAAAGGAAAAAAAGTTAAATTTACACCAAAAAATATTAAAAAAAACACTGCACTTATTATTAATTTATCATAAACATAACCAGTTATAAACCTTCATCATAATCTAATACCTGTAAAAATACCAAAAACTGCCCCCAAACTTAAAACGTAATGAAAATGACTAACCACATAATAAGTATCATGTAAAATAATATCCAAACTAGAATTTGATAAAACAACACCTGTTAATCCACCAATAGTAAATAAAAAAATAAAACCCAATACTCACAACAAAACCGGTTGAAACTTTATTTTTATACCAAATAAAGTAGCCAATCAACTAAACACTTTTACACCCGTAGGCACCGCAATTACTATAGTAGCAGCAGTAAAATAAGCACGAGAATCTAAATCCATCCCTACAGTATACATATGATGAGCTCAAACAACACAACCAATTAAACCAATACTTAAAATTGCATAAACCATACCTAACGAACCAAATACTTCTTTTTTACCAGTTAAATACAAAGAAGACTGACTAATAATACCAAAAGCTGGTAAAATTAAAATATAAACCTCTGGATGACCAAAAAATCAAAACAAATGTTGATAAATTAAAGGGATTACCACCAGTTCTTGGATCAAAAAAAGAAGTATTTAAATTACGATCAGTTAACAACATAGTAATAGCACCAGCTAAAACAGGTAAAGATAATACTAACAAAAAAACAGTTACAAACACCGTTCATACAAACAATCTTATATGTTCCAACGAAATAGAACTACTACGCAAATTTTTAGTAGTACACATAAAATTAATACCCCCTAAAATAGATCTTAATCCTGCACAATGTAAACTAAAAATTGCTAAATCCACACTTCTACCCGGATGACCTAAAGTTCTTAAAGGAGGATAAACAGTTCAACTTGTGCCACAACCCATATCAACAAAACAAGAATCTAAAATCAAAAATATTGCTGTAGGTAATAATCAAAACCTTAAATTATTTAAACGAGGAAATCTTATATCAGGAGCCCCCAATATTAAAGGCAACATTCAATTACCAAAACCACCAATTATACTAGGCATTACCATAAAAAAAATTATTAAAATTGCGTGAGCTGTAATAATACTATTATACAACTGCCCATTTCTTAACAATAAACCAGGTTTAGCCAACTCCAAACGAATAATTAAAGACAATCTTGTACCAATTATACCAGATCACAAACCAAACAAAAAATATAATGTTCCAATATCTTTATGATTAGAACTTTCTAACCAAACAGACAAACCACCTTGATACTTTTTATATATATTTAAAATTTAAGAGATAATTTTTAAAACAAATTTTACTCTTAATACAAAAAAAGGAACAAGAGATTGTTCCATGTTAAAAGAATATAGTTAACCAAAAAATATTATATATTATAACAATTATAAATAATGATAAACCATAATTATTATTATTAAAATTTAACATATATTTACCAGCAAAAGCAGCCACAATTAAAAATAATGAATAATAAAAAGCTACTATAAAATATAAAAAAATAAAAAAAAATAATAATTTTCTTATTATGTAATTATTAATTACAATTATAAATTCAGACAAGAAAGATAATGATGGGGGAACACCACTATTAGATAAAAAAATTAATGAAAATAAAATTCTAATTATTATACTTGAACTTATAAAATTGTTTATAAAATAAATTATTCGTCTAGAAGAAACATGATAAAATTCACCAATTACATAAAATATTAAAGTAGATGTATAACCGTGTGCTAATATTATTATTAAACCCGCAACTTTCCCTCTAATTAACAACAATGACAACGATAATAATAAAAAACTTATATGTGTAACAGAAGAATAAGCAGCCAATGATTTAGAATCTCTTTGAAAAACACAACAAATAGAAGCTAAAATTATTCCCAATAACGAAATAAGAATTCAAAAATTATTATAAATAAATCTTATTCTATTTATAATACGTAAAAACCCAGCCGTACCTAATTTTAACAGCAAACCTGCTAATAATATTCTTGCTGTGGTAGGAGCTTCAACATGTGCTTTAGGTAATCACAAATGTAAAAAATAAACTGGAAATTTTATCATAAATCTTAAAGTTAAAACAAAAAATAACTCCCAATTTATAAAAAAGTCAAAATAACACAACGACAATATAAAATTTCTTTTATAATATACATATAAAAACGGAAATGAACATAAACTCGCATAAAACAACAAATAATAACCAGAATTAATCTTTTCAATTTGAGATCCAAATCCTAAAATTATTACTAAAATAGGAAACAATGATAATTCAAAAAACATATATAATATCAATAAATTTCTAGAAACAAAAAAAAATAACAAATAACAATTAAAACACCACTTAAAATTAATAAATTTATATTTTTTTCCCTAATTATTACTATTCCATAAATAAATAATATTATTATAATTAACAACAAAAAAACATATGAATCAACAAAAAAAAATATTCCATTTCAAGAAATTTTATTAAATAAACTTACTCTAAATAATAATAATAAAAAAAAAAATAATTAGGTAAAAAAAAAAACAAAAATCTTACTATCATAAATTCAAACAAAGCTATTAAAACCTTATAATTACAAGTTATAAATTCTAATTTAAACTATAACAGCAATAAGATCATCAATACACAAACACAAATAAAAACAATCAAACTACGTCAACAAAATGCCAATATAAAATTGCAAATTCCAAACCTAAATGATGATTATAATTAAAATGTGATTTTAATAAACGTAATAAATTAAATCCTAAAAACAGCCCACCGCACAATACATGAATACCGTGAAAACCAGTAGATAAATAAAAAATACTACCAAAAATACCATCAGAAATTGAAAACCTAGCCTCTTTATACTCCATTAACTGAATTCTAGTAAAATATACTGCCAATAAACACGTTAAAATTATTCTATTTGTACAACTCTTATTTCTTAATAACCTGTGATGTGCCCAGGTCACAGTTACACCACTTCTTAATAAAATAATTGTATTTAATAAAGGAACACCAAAAGGATTAACCAAATGCAAACCAATAGGTGATCATCTTTCACCTAACTCATGAACAGGTACCAATGCCG